TGCGTAAAAAGTGTGAAAAAAGTCACAATTGAGTAGAGGGATCTACTGAAAAAAGTAGCTTTTACTTTTTTCGCCTTTGCAGGGCTAGGCAGGGCATCGTGCAAAAAGTTGCTTATAAGTTTGTTATAAGTGGCAAAAAGTAAGCGCGTGATTTCCTGATGTCATATCCCACAGACGAACCACATTCCATGAGGCCGTGACCATGCGTCGGCCGTCTGGGGAAACTGCGATTGCATTTGCGCGACGTTTATTCACCTCTTGATTATTGATGTACATTCTACTACCACGATCATCGTGTTGTTCATAATCTTCGAACTCTCGAAGGGGTGTGGGGTTTAGAATGAGCTGCGCCATTTCTAGAGGTTGATAATTTTGAGGACGATCAAAGTGGACTTTGCAGGGAGATTGCGGGCATCCTCACTCAGGTTGTTTTATGCTGCTCCACAACGTCAGGCACCTAAGACGTGGTCTTATTAATAGGCCAGGCAGTGCTTATGTGACGCGGGGCCACTGTCACAAATCCTAGGGTGTTCATTGATTCAACGTTGGTTTTCTGTGGCATTCGTAGAACGTTCACACGGGAAGAGTCGACTTTGAGAACACTTAGGAGACGAACAGAGAAAACTGGCCGAACTAAGTGTGTATTCAGGAAAGGATCAACTAACTCTAACAGTAGATCAATGTCAGTTTATATACTGTAGAGTACGAGTCACAAGTAATCAAAGGAACGGGGGGGAAGGTATTCGAATAAAGGAGAGATGACAATATGTTGCCTTGACAGTAGGGCTGCACACCGTACCATATATGGTAGACGGCCGTACGCATACGGTAGAGGTACGGTAGACGGTGAACCCGTCTACCATACATAGTATTGGCCGTGGACAAAGCAGACGGTATGGTACGGAGTATTATATGGACGTATACGGTAATGTACGGTACATACAGAATGTAAATCAACTATGAACAAGCTCATTTAGGGCCAAACGAGCCAAGCGAAGCCTTGCCTTCACGAGCATCAACGTTCTGATAGTCTCAGGCTTGAGACTTGCACGTCGCAGTGAGACCGTGTCGTGACCACCGGAGAAAATTCGTTCAACAGCAACAGCAGATCCTACAACGAAGAGAACTAAGTACAGACACCTGGAACATGAAGTGAGTACTCACCAGGTATTGAAAGGACATCACGGGCAAGTCGAGAGAGGTTCGGAAACTGTGCTCGGCGACCCGCCCACCACTGAATGGGGTCACAAAGGTCAAAGTCCTCTTGCAGAAGTTTTAGGTACTCCTCAAATTCATCTACCAAAACATTTGACCGCTTCTTGTACCTCGCTGTGAAATTCACCTTCGAGGGAGAATTTCTACCATCAGACACATTTGCGTGATGGCCTGTGCTGGCAGACAGCGATGACGCACTGTCCTGCGCAACAGATGTAGTGGCATAGTCTTTTTTATACAGGGCGTGTAGGTCATTCTTCAGTGAGTCGATTTGTGACCGTGTACTTGCATCATTGGCATCGCAATCATCACGGAGACCTTTGTAAGTAATGCGGGGATCGAGAACTTGAACTAGATTAGCTATCAAAATAAATCTAAATTCAGTGCAGGACTCACTCGAAGCCCAGACATAGTACGGTGAGTCATCAATCTTGAAGAAGTAGTCGCTGAGCTTCCGATGCGCATTGATCAAAGCAAGCCGTATCTTTGCTGGGGCTGAGTCTGGAAGATTCGCTAAATCATCCCGAAGTGACTCCTCAAGGCCTCGAGATATAGCATGAGCTGAAGACAACATTGGGTGCTTGGTTGTTGACATTTGAGTGGTTGCTGACCGGAATGCTTTCAGCCACCCCATCACTAGTTCAATTGCTTGCCAATCGTCATCAGAAAGTTCATATTGTCGTAGTTCACGTGTCTTTGCCACAAAATCATTGATAGCCTTGCGGGAATCCAATGCACGACCTGTGAATTTGATTGGTACTCAATCATAAATTATGGAACTGTACTTACAAAGCATTTGATGTGTCGATGACCAGCGGGTCTTGACGTCCAAAATGAGCATGAGCGCAACTTGACTGAGTGTATTCTCAGTCTTCTTGAGTGATATTGTGACCTCCGCAAGCCATGCCTTGCGTCGCTGTGGGCTTGACCGAACTGACCGAACAATCTTTCGAAGCTGTTGGATCCATCCATTAGTAATGTGTTTTATGAAACTGTGATTTCAATACCTTGTCGACAGCCGACAAAACCCCCTGCAGAGTGCCAGATTGATCATCGTCGTCATCATCCGTTTCATCAAGAAGTGCAGCATTATCATCATGCTCACGGTCTATGGGAGCAGTAACTGAGTCCTGGTATGCAGATTCTCTACATCTCGAATCTGGCTTGATAGCACCAATGCCTTCAAGAAGCTGCATTGCAGATAGGTGCACAATATGTGGCAAACAACGGATCCGTGCTTTCTTGTGCGAGAAGTCGATCCCCTCAGCGGAACACTTTTCTTCAAGGGATTCAAGTAGTGTATCGTTGTTCGTAGCATTGTCACATACGACACCCATGATCTAAGATAGAATGAGTACATAAAATCACGCAACCCGCTGTTTCATACCCGATCTTTGAGTCCATAAAGTTCGAGTGTGTCCCACACAGCTTCAGCAAGATTAGCACCACTGTGCAATCAAAAGCTCTTCTGTTGATGCGAAGTTGAAGGTTGGGCGCAAAAATGATGGGAGGGACATACCTAACTGCCAGTCATTGGTCACATAATGCATGATAATTGCGAGGAACGCAAATTGGTTGCTCGAGGTCCAAGCATCTAGGGAAAGGCTCACTTTCGCCTCGAGTTCCTGAAGAAGGTTGGTAATGTACAAGAAAATCTTTTTTGAATTGTTCAACTTACCTGAACCATGTCTTTGATTCCTTGGATAGTCTCATCACCCATCTTCATGATACGACGTTTGATTGCCATTCATCCAGGGATACGTAGCGAACCTTGGTGAGTGTACTCAATGAATGCTTTGAACTCTGGCTTTTCGACCTCGTCAAACGGCTGGTCACATGCAACGAGCCATTTCGCAAGCAGGTCTTCAAATTTGTCTTGGTTCCAGGCACCGAATGTTTTGTTGACTTGCTTGTTGAAGGCGTCAACGAGATTTGCAGATGCTTGCTCAAGCTGTGTCAGGTATGCTGCTGCTGCGTCAGGATCAAGAACTTTTTCGCCTCGTGCCATTTTGAGCTCATCTTCGGTGGGAGGTGTTCCGCGAGACTTCAGGATGAGGTATAACCGATACATAGGTGGAAAATGTGTTTTGAGATGCCCGATCAAGCCTGATAGTCACACTGTATTAGCAAGAAAGATGCTAGCCAAAACACGATACAACTTACCATTCAGGCTGCTTTTCATTGCACGTGTAATGGTGAGGACCTTCCAATTACCCAAGTAACACTTGTAGTGTTTATCTCCCGGATCACCAGCCTGACCCGCAGCATTCGACTGTACGACATCGTAGAAGTGATATATCGGGTTCCGCTTGGTAGCCTAATAATTTTGTAAGAACTGAACTCTCTGAGACAAAACGGCACCATACCTTGACAGCAGGCACGGAATCTCGAAGGGGTACAGCATCTTCCAAGTCGACAGGACTTTCTTGCATAGTCACGGTCGTAGCAGCTCTTCGGCTGGCAGATGCCCGAGTGGTTGACTTTTTGGTCAAGCGCTTGCGCTTGTTTCGCCTGTTTGATTGTTCCGGAACTGTTTTTGAAGGCAACAAGTGCGTGAGCTTGTTTTGCATAATATTGAGTTTATGAACAATGCTCTAGAGCTATTCTCAACTCACCTCTTCGTTCGTGATTTCAATGACATCCGATTCACGATCAGAGTCCGATGCAGTATCCAACGGCGAGCTTGAAGGACTAATGTAGTCACTCCCTTCATCATCCAGGTCACCTTCAACGGCAAGACCCTCAAAGCGATTCTGCGTGGTTTTCGACTTCTTGGTTCTCCTGGGCTTAGACTTGGTGGCAGGAACATTTGGACTACCTTCAGAGGCCAATTCTGCTGTGATACTCTCAGTTAAGCGTGCGGTATTCTTAGTGCGGTGCCCGCGACCGAGGACAGTCTGGAATTGCGGTTCATTGGTAGGACTAGAGGACATTGAGGGCAGAAATACGAGAGGGACAACAAACTAGTAACTAGGGAAGTCTTAGTAGAATATTATAAGGAACATACGGAGAGTACTGCTTCCATCAGCGTGAAGCGCATGCAGCAAACTGTCAGACTTATTGCAGTCGTCGTCGTCGTCGTCGCAGGACATGGCGGTTCAGGGCAAGAAGTCGCGGATAAACCGGCACCCTTTCCGACCGTAAAGGCCGTAAAGGTACCGTTGACGGCCGTATGGAATACGTCTTGTACGGTGTACGGTCCAGCCGTACACCGTACATATTGATTTCTTTGTGCAGGTCCAGCGGTACGGCAACCGTATCCGTCGACGGTTGCCGTACAAACCGTCTATGACGGCGACGGCGTGCAGCCCTACTTGACAGCTGTCAAGGCATTTTGACGAGGTAACATTTTCAGACGACAGTCTCACTGTGTCAAACTCGGCCCCACCTTGTCAAGTCTGATTCAGCCTCTGTACTCTGTACCACCATGTCAAGCTTGATTCAGGCTCATACCATGACAAGTTCTCCCCAACGTCTTCGCAGCTGGAGTCCATACTAATGTAAATCTCCACACTCACCTATGTCGCGTCAAACCTAATCCATGCCACGTCAAACTAGGGTGTGACATGGATGCACCCGGGTGGCACCCGTACTCAATCCGCGGGTAGATAGAACTTTGAAGGCCTACCCGCACCCGTGCGGGTGAGATTACCACGGGTGCGGGTGGACCCACGGGTGGATCCGCAGATGGTACGGGTCACCCGCGGGTGACAAAATGTACATTGTTGGGAACTGTAGACACGACCTGCAGGGACATAGGTAGTACACAATATCCATAACCACTATCAATCAGAGTCGATTTCGATGGCATCAGCCCGTCCTGTCTCTTTCCCCTTGCCCTTTACCATCTTCTGCCGCATGATACTTGTGGCGACACCGAGATCAGGCATGAGAGGTGTGTTAAACCACGATCCAACGGCAACCTGCGCTTTGAAGGTCTGGGAGCTGATACCCCTATACCAGCCAGCATACATGCCACGTCAGCTCGTCGCACCTATAAGTACATGCCGCGTCAGTGCCACATCAAACCTACGCCTCGTCAGTCCCGCGTCAGCACTTTTTAACTGTCAGTGTAACTTTATATTTTCAACCTGTCATAACAAATGAATTTCTAACAGGGAGATCCCTCACCCAGCATTGATTCCATCTTACTCCGGAGATGCAGAGCTTCTCGAGGTTAGCAAATAAATTTTTAGAGTAGCAGAACCGATTGTGCGTTGACATAGCATGGAACCAAGTCAAATGAAGTGATGTCCGTGAATAAATGATGATTCGACTCAGGTAAATGACAACTTGCGAAGTACATCCAAACTACTAATCCCCAAGTACCGCAAAAATTACCCAACATCATATCAAACGCACCTATAACCCGCACACCATCTACCAATCGTTTATACTCTCTCAACAGCTTCCTCACCTTCGACACCTTCAAATCATCCTCCACACTCCATAAACCACTGTTAGGCGCAGGGGGTCATATCAAGATGTGAGAAGGTGCGGGTGGTCATGCTGGTGAGTCGAACCGATTGCGGTGTGACTCAGGGGTGCAGCAGCGAGGAGCGTGTGATGGGGGTGATGCCGTCCAGACAGGATGAAGATGATTATCAAGTGTAAATCATAGGTAAGCACGTCAGTGATGACCTAACACTCGGACCGGCACGATATCTTAGATAGTGTCAGCATCTCTCGAGCCAGACGAAGGAACACCCTTGATACACGTACTTGATGATTGAGAGTCAAGATTACGCGAGCAGTAAAAGACGACGAACAAAAATGTGCCTCGCATTTCAGCACCTTGCATGTTGTGGCAGAGACACTTATTCTCTTGACATGTGCTATAGACTGCTTGAAACTTTAACTGTCAAAAACCGAACTAGAACAAGATGTCATTTGATTAGCACTTGCGTTCAGGCGAAGGTTGTGACAGTCACCAATCGAAAAGCTGTCGTTTCTTCAGCCGTTGTGGGTGTTATCCTTAAACTATTAAGCGCAGATTTTTTTCTTTTGCATTTGGGTCTGTGACTCGAAAATCTCAGATTATAATAATGGGGATTACAACGTCACGTACCAGAAACAAGGAAAGCTCTAGTGCTGTTGGGGGAGCCGGTCCTCAATCCGAGCCAAGAGTCGCCATTAGCGCCCATCGAAGATGATGAATTATGATGTGTATATACAATTGTCCCGGATGGCTATGGCTTGTCATTGCAATCTGAGAAACACGTTGCTTTTTCTCCACTCGATACGTTTATATATATAGGCGCTCCTAACAGGGGTATTGCGTGCATGGTGTAGTACCAGTATCCATGCAGTACCCTGATCAGAATGTTGGCGATGTCACGATTCGAAAATCATTGGTGAGAAGCGTAAATGGCGCACCATTTTGTGGATAGTGTGATGAGCTCACACAGTTGAAGCCGATAGACTGGGATAGAGGACTGACCCGGCGCTTTGTATGTACAGAAAAGTGGAGGTGTAATGAGAACGCGAAAAAGCGACAAGGATAAGGAAGAAATCGGATTGCCTGTGACTTCAACGGCAGAACAGATGACCGTGCTGGTCACCGCTATGAAAGGCATTAGTCATTGTTTCTGGACCTCTGACAGATTCAATCTG